TGCTCCACTATACATTATACCCATGTGTACTGCCCACTATACATTATACCCATAGTGTGCTGCTCCCACTATACATTATACCCCATAGTGTGCGCTCCACTATACATTATACCCATAGTGTACTGCTCCATATACATTATACCCATAGTGTACTGCTCCCACTATACATTATACCCATAGTGTACTGCTCCCACTATACATTATACCCATAGTGTGCTGCTCACTATACATTATACCCATAGTGTGCTGCTCACTATACATTATACCCCATAGTGTACTGCTCCCACTATACATTATACCCATAGTGTGCTGCTCACTTCATTATACCCATAGTGTACTGCTCCCACTATACATTATACCCATAGTATGCTGTCACTATACATTATACCCATAGTGTACTGCTCCCACTATACATTATACCCATAGTGTACTGCTCACTATACATTATACCCATAGTGTACTGCTCCACTATACATTATACCCATAGTGTACTGCTCACTATACATTATACCCATAGTGTACTGCTCCACTATACATTATACCCATAGTGTACTGCTCCACTATACATTACCCATAGTGTACTGCTCCCTATACATTATACCTTAGTGTACTGCTCCCACTATACATTATACCCATAGTGTACTGCTCCCACTACATTATACCCATAGTGTACTGCTCCCACTATACATTATACCCTTAGTATACTGCTCCCACTATACATTATACCCATAGTGTACTGCTCCCTATACATTATACCCATAGTGTACTGCTCCCCATATATTATACCCATAGTGTACTGTCCCCTACATTATACCCATAGTGTACTGCTCCCACTATACATTATACCATAGTATACTGCTCCTATACATTATACCCATAGTGTACTGCCCCCACTATACATTATACCCATAGTGTACTGCTCCTACTACATTATACCCATAGTGTACGCCACTATACATTATACCCATAGTGTACTGCTCCCCACTATACATTATACCCATAGTGTACTGCTCCCACTATATTATACCCATAGTGTACTGCTCCCACTACATTATACCCATAGTGTACTGCCCCACTATACATTATACCCATAGTGTACTGCCCCACTATACATTATACCCATAGTGTACTGCTCCCACTATACATTATAACCATAGTGTACTGCTCCCACTATACATTATACCTAGTGTACTGCTCCCACTATACATTATACCCATAGTGTACTGCTCCCACTATACATTATACCCATAGTGTACTGCCCCCACTATACATTATACCCATAGTGTACTGCTCTACTACATTATACCCATATGTATGCTCATATACGTACTGTCCCACTATATTATACCCATAGTGTACTGCTCTACTATACATTATACCATAGTGTACTGCTCCACTATACATTATACCCATAGTGTACTGCTCCCCACTATACATTATACCCATAGTGTACTGCTCCCACTATACATTATACCCATAGTGTACTGCTCCACTATACATTATACCCATAGTGTACTGCTCCCACTATACATTATACCCATAGTGTACTGCTCCCACTATACATTATACCCATAGTGTACTGCTCCCACTATACATTATACCCATAGTGTACTGTCTCCACTATACATTATACCCATAGTGTACTGCTCACTATACAGTATATACCCATAGTGTACTGCTCCCACTATACATTATACCCATAGTGTACTGCCCCACTATACATTATACCCACAGGTAGTTCCCACTATACATTATACCCATAGTGTACTGCTCCCACTATACATTATACCCATAGTGTACTGCTCCACTATACATTATACCCATAGTGTACTGCTCCCACTATACATTATACCCATAGTGTACTGCTCCCACTATACATTATACCCATAGTACTGCTCCCCACTATACATTATACCCATATGTACTGCTCCCACTATACATTATACCCATAGTGTACTGCTCCCACTATACATTATACCCATAGTGTACTGCTCCCACTATACATTATACCCATAGTGTACTGCTCCCACTATACATTATACCCATAGTGTACTGCTCCCACTATACATTATACCCATAGTGTACTGCTCCCACTATACATTATACCCATAGTGTACTGCTCCCACTATACATTATACCCATAGTGTACTGCTCCCACTATACATTATACCCATAGTGTACTTCCACCGCCGATATAACCAAAGATGGCGGCCTGACTGGGTTCATTAGGTCGGTAAATGGAATCTACGACATATCAGTGTCAGACAGGGAGGTCGGGCCACCGTGGTCGGCTCTTCTTAATTTGGTGTCGGGCCGAATTTTGTTGGTCATTATCCTCCTCGGCGGCTCTCAGGGTCTGGTGGCTGTTTCCCTTTGTTTCTGGTGTGTGTGTGTGTGTGTGTGTGTGTGTGTGTGTGTGTGTGTGTGTGTGTGTGTGTGTGTGTGGGTGGGTGGCGGGCGCACGCGCACTCTACCACTACCTCTCACCCCCACTACTCCTCCTCACCCCCACTATCCCTCACCATCCCTACTCACCCACTAACCCCACCTTACTACTCCACCCCCCCACCCTACCCTCACAACCTCCTCCCCCACCCTACCCCCTCACAACCTCCTCCCTCCCTACCCCCTCACAACCTCCTCCCTCCCTACCCCCTCACCCCCACTACCCCGAGATGCCTTGACAAATTAGCCTGACCAATGGAGAAACAGGCACCTGCACCTGATTAAATTCACCTAATTGACAGCATTACGCAACCTTGTTATTATCTCAGTGATGTATTGTCGTTCGCTGCCTCAACCACGTTATTACCATCTTGTCACTTGTGCCAGCTCCAGAGTGCCACTTAATATACGTCTGGCACTTCAGAATACACCTGGCACTTGGGGGCATACATTACTCACATTAGAATATCACCCCATGAGCTCCAAGTCTACCTGGCGTTTGTAGGGAAGATAAAATCAGTTATTTGAGGGCAGGCCTTGCGCTTGAGGGTATCACTGGTTGCTTAAGGGCAGGCTTAGCGCTTGAGAATAACACTGGCTGCTTGAGGGAAGGCCTAGCGCTTGACCTGAAGCTGACTTGACACATCACCATTGAAGCTCAGATCGTTCAGGTCTGTGGTTCAAGGCCGACCTGAAATTGATTGAATCTCAGATAGGCAAGGAATATCTTCATTCTTTTAGTTAGTGCAGGAGTATTGACAGTGGTGTCTCAGTTCTCTACTACTGTGTTTAGCCAGACCAATACTTACACAGCCCCGACCACATCTTTGAGTTGGTGAGTAAGTGAGCGGAAGAACGAGAAGCGATGTTGGCCTGTTTGTCTTGCGCGCGCGCGCGTGGTGTGTGTGTGTGTCTGTTCTCCCATCCGTGGCAGCCGGGTAAAGAAGAATGAGAACAGATCCGTGTTTGTCTTTGTGTGTGTGTGTGTGTGTGTGTGTCTGTGTCTGTCTGTGTCTGTCTGTCTGTGTCTGTCTGTTCGTTCGTCTTGCTCGTCGCTAAGTTAGAGGTGGGGGTATTATTGGCAGGTGTACAGTATTGATTAATTTTGGCTGGAGGAGGTAAAGTTAATCACCTGGCACTGAAGTAACATATTTCATGTGACACTGAATGTAATAATCTATTTCAATATTGCATATTTTATTAGAATTGATATTAATAAATAAACTTGATGCTGAGAGAGAGAGAGAGAGAGAGAGAGAGAGAGAGAGGTGTGTGCTCGGACTTGTAAACGCTAAGGGGCGGGGCTACCTATTTAACATGAAGGACCTATTGTTCAGGTGACGTCATGCCAAATTTGGGTGATATGTAAACAGTTTTAATTTGCAATGATTGAGGTGAGAATGTTGCAAATGTTCAGTGAGACCACAACACCCTGATCCCATTACCTGGTCACCTGTTACAATAAAACCTAGAGTCATCAGGATAATTAGAAGGCAACTCACAGACGTGACTCCACACAAAGCCTCTGTCCAGGATTTGAGAAATATATGGACTGTTCTGCTCACATCACTGGAACCGATTTGTCTCGAGTATTAATCACTTCACCTCTACTGCTGACATCTGGAAAACAAAATCAACATAATTACGAGAATGAAGCCACTCCCCTTCACCACAGCCCCAGGAATATGCTTGAAGAGCTGGCGGAATCTCGCTGTCCACTCTCGAGTCTCGAGTCGCGGCCTTTCCCTTAAGAACACATTATAAATCGTTTGTACCAAACGTCATCCAGATAACTACTTCATTACAGCTTAGGAGCTGAGACAAGCCCTTCTCAGAGGGAAGACTACAGCGCCAGGAGAAGATGGCATTCCCTATAGGACTCTTCTTCACCTACTGTTAAACGTCCTCCTGCATCGTCTCATAGGTCCATTCCAAAGAGGGACAGAACGGATTGCCAATTATGTTGACATCTGCTTGCAGGCAGCCTTACCTGAACGCCTACAACAACTCATCACCGCCCTTCAAGAGAAAACGAAAGTTTACCTCGCTACCCACACCACCACTCAACCCATCTACCTCAACGGCAATGACCTCGAAATCTGTCAGCAATACCAGTACCTAGGTGCTCCAATAACCTCCTGTACCACCCCTCGAGGCACTACTTCTCTCACTTGTCTTGGCACACTACGAGGTGCGAGTTCCACTGTCTCATTCCTTACAATCACGACCAGTCAACTTTGTCTAAAACTTGGGGTGTAACTACCCTACGAGGCGAGAGTCTATGTAATTCAGTTTGACGGCCGGTTCAGTGTATATAGGACTGCCGTCCCAATGTAAGGGGCGTAAAAAAAAACTGATGCTGTATTGGTGTTCCTATGTCGCTATATACAACACACACGAATATTTTATTTTATAAGATATCACTTTAACCATAACAAGTCCTGCATTATTACAACAACACCTGGCTTTTGTTTACATGTCTTTTGTTTATGTATCATTCACCTCAGTAATTCCCACACCACAACAATAACTCGTGGCTTTTGTTTACTTTCCAGGGAGTCTGCAGATCAGCACCAGCACGGAGGAAGATGGCGGGAAGTACGAGTGTGTAGCTGAGAACGAAGTTGGTACCGCCTTCAGTAACCTCGTCAGCCTCTACGTCAGGGGTGAGTACCTATACCTGTGTCTCACGTCATCCAAGAGCTCGGATTGGTTAATTGGTTTTGAGTAAAGGTTACTTTTTTTTCTAGTATTTATTTCTTCGTGTTTTTGGGACGTTCCAGTACCATTATAGGATACCCCAATTGTCATCCTTAACGATCTCAGAGGATGCTTTGGCCATATCCTACGACGATGGTGGTGGTGGAGCAAGGGGTGATGTCTTGGAGGGATCGTGGGATGTTTTTTTTCATTTCTGACCCTTCCCCCCCACCTCCCCCTCTAGGATGTCATAGGTTAAAGCCTCTTAATTTGCACTCCCTTGAGAGACGTAGAGTGAGGGCCGACATGATAGAGGTGTATAAATGGAAGTCAGGGTTAAACAAAGGTGACATAACAAAGGTACTCAAACTATCCAACCAGGAGCGAACTCGTAACAATGGTTTTAAATTAGACAAATTTAGATTTCGGCGTGAAATAGGTAAACACTGGTTTGGAAACAGAGTAGTGGATGAATGGAACAAGTTACCAAATATCATCATTAACTCGAATACGCTGGATAGCTTCAAACATAGGTTGGATGCTTATATGAGCAATAGGGGTTAGGTATAAACGGGACTGTCCAGTATGGGTCAATAGGCCCGCTGCAGTTTCCTCCATTCTTATGTTCTTATATGGTAATCCTACAGAAGGCTGTCTTCTCTTGAGTTTAGGATGTTTCTCTGGTCCCTTCTCCTCCTCCTCCCTCCCCCTTCCTCCCCTTTCCCTAGGATTTATTCAGTTAATCCTATGCTGATGGTGAACCTGGAAGGATTTTAATATGATTTTTTTTTTTTTGGGGGGGGGGATTTCATTACGGCCTTTAGGATGTTATCAGCTAAATCCTATATTATGTTGTGGTCTTATGACATCCTGACAATCCTAGAAAGGGTTTTGGTTATCCTATTATAGTGATGGTGAACACTTTTAAGGACCTAAACGGAATATAATGAACTGTATGTGAGGATTGTGACGAAGGTTACTTAACGCCTGTCAAGATATCAACTAATATTGTAAAGCGTCTCTCTTAGATATCCGTGAATCTTGTAAATATTAGGATAGCATCAGATGAAGTTAATAATCTATGGAAGATATCAGTGAATGTTGTTTGTTTCTTCAGTGGTGTGTGTGTGTGTGTGTGTGTGTGTGTGTGTGTGTGTGTGTGTGCGCGCGCGCGCGTGTGTGCGTGTGCGTGTGCGTGTGCGTGTGTGCGTGCGTGTGCGTGCGTGTGCGTGTGTGCGTGTGTGCGTGTGTGTTTTATGGTATATAAATTGAAGTCAACATGGCCGCCGTTTAAGTCAGGCCTCTAGATAGATACACACACACACACACACACACACACACACACACACATTAGCATTCAGCCGAGACTTGTAGTACAGCCTAAATTATCGTAGTAAATACTTATAAAATACATACTTAATAGTGTGGTAGTGCGCCTCCACTACGTGAACCGGAAATAACACCAACACATAGCCCGGAGCTAGAACGGGAGAGAAAGAGAGACAATAACGAGAGAGAGAGAGAGAGAGAGAGCAAAATTAGGTGCATGAATTCGCTGTCTAAATTTTGAAGCGAACAAAACACTTTATTTAAACTGAGAGGCAAACACTGGAGGGTTTGTGTGGGGGAGGAGGAGGGCAAGACTGAGGTGGGGGGGGAAGGAGAGGGCAAGCGTGAGGGGGGGAGTGGGTACTTTGGGTAGGCCGCTGGGTAAAGGAGAAATAGGAGGAAGGATAATATTCTCTCTCTTTCTCTTTGTCTCTTTTTTCATTTTCTTTCTCTCCTTTCACTTTTCCACAATCTCTTTCCGTCTCTTGTCTCTGAATGGGAGTTAGGAAAGACAAAGGGCAGGGAACTCGACTAGATCTCTGGTTTAGGGCAATGGGCAATAGTAGACGAGAATTCACTCTTAAGGGCAACTGGCAAGAATTAGACCACACTTCAGGTTTAGGGCAAGAGTGGACCAGGTTAAGGGCAAGAGTGGACCAGGTTGAGGGCAACAGTGGGCCAGGTTGAGGGCAAGAGTGGACCAGGTTGAGGGCAAGAGGGCAGGAATTAGACAAGGGCGGCTGCTGAGGTAATTTGAATAGATAACATTTTGTTGGGCCGCTGTTGTCACCCGGGTGTACACTGTACTGTTCTATGGCTGCCAACCTGACTTGACCTGACCTAATATGACATGACCTGACCTGACCTAAACTAACCTAGCCTAAACTAACCTAACTAGAACTGACCTAACCCGAATTGACCTAACCTAACCTGAACTGACCTAACCTAATCTAACTGAACTGAACTGAACTGAACTTACTGTAAGCTGAACTGACCTATCCTGACCTGACCTGACGTAACTTGATATGACGGCTCTTCGGCTGCTGTGACTGCCGAACTGACACCTGACTGACTGGTTGACTAGATGACTGGATCTCTTGACTAACTGGGTGAGTCGCTCATGGTCCTTGTAACAGACAGGGCGGGTTATATTGTCACTCACTCACTCACTCACTCACTCACTCACGATAAGAGAATGGAGTGAGTGAGAAGAGTGAACCTGGAGTGCTAGATAAATACCAATCACATGGATGAGGGACAGAGATCCACTCTCTTCTCTTCCCCAATCAAGTTGAGTCGTCGGTCGGTCGGTTGGTCGGTAGTCGGCGCGGGAGGAAGGAGTAGGAGAGGAGTTGAGGGATGGGGAGGAGTAGGAGGAGGAGTAGGTGAAGTAGTAGGAGAGAGAGGGGTGGAAGGGGGAGGGTCGTGATAAAGTATTCATATGTTAATTCCGGTTCGTGATCTGGAGAAGTAATGTTTGTCTAGTTCCAACATGTATTTGGGGAGTAAAAATGTTCAAAAACTTGTGTGACTCTTTATATAGCGTGAGCCTCGCCCCGTGTTGACTTCACCAACTCAAGTAGTGCTTATCCGATTACCTGTACAAACACGGGCCACGACTTTACACCACCACCCACCACCACACCACACTACCACCCCACCCACCATCCCACCCCACCCACTACCCCACCCCACCCACCATCCCACCCCATCCCCATCCACCACTCCAACCCACCCACCACCCGATCCCCCACCCCACCCCGTCAGTCCATCCGATGTTTTGTGTTACATTAGGATAGTTTTGTCAGGTGTGGTGTGTAATGTGTATTGTAGTGTGGTGTGGTGGTGTAGTGTGGTATTGTGGTGTAGTGTGGTCGTAGTGTGGTGATGTGTATTGTGGTGTGGTGGTGTAGTGTAGTGTGGCTCGTAGTGTGGTGTTGTGATGTAGTGTAGTGAGGTGGTGTAGTGTTGTATGGTGTTGTAGGGTGGTATGGTGGTAATGTAGTGTGGTTGTATGGTGTGGTGTGTTCTTTCTGTCTATCCACTCTTTTTCACAGACACACATACACACACACACACACCCACACCACAAAGGTACCAGTTACTCCACAGGAACTTTCTAGCCTTTGGGGTATTAATATATCCTTTGAGACTGACTGAAACTTTTTGGACCTCAGATGGGAAGATAAAACCAGAATGGACAATTTAGAACAATTTGAGCGTTTCCTTGACGTCGAAATTGGTTTTGTGGGATTGGTTTGGTGTGTGTAATTGGGACGAAGTTAGGTGTGCTGTGGTCCTCAGAGGTTCACACTATGGTAGGGATGAAGAGAGTTGAACTTCCATTACTGCTGCGTTGGGTTCACATTGGTTTAACCTGACGTAATGTGGTTTTTTATTTAGGGTAGGTGTAACCTAACCTAACTTAACCTAACCTAACCTAACCTAACTTAACCTGACCTAACCTAACCTGACCTGACCTGTTTTGGATTAATGTACCCCATCTTCACCAACTTAATTCTAACCTAAGGCTACCATAACTTAACCTAACTTAATCTAATCTAACCTGGTCTACCGTACCCTGTTTTAACCTAACACACCCTAACCTAACACACCCTAACCTACCATAACCTAACTTAACGCAATCCTACTGATTTTTACTACTACACACACACACACACACGCACACACACACACACACACACACACACACACACACACACACACACACACACACACACACACACACACGGGCCCACATCGGTATTCAGGTAGAGTATCACACCCCCCGGGTCTCCTCCATTCTCGCCCACAACACACTATATATTATCACCTTCCCTTCTCCCATCATTATCAATTTCTTCACTTTCATCATTATCACCAATCTCCTTCCTTTGCCTCTTTCCATGAGTTATTACCCTTTAAATCAATTCACAATACTATCAATTTATTACTACCACCATTACCACTACTATCAATTCTTATTACCACCACTATTACCACTACTATCACCATCACCATCTCAATTCATTACCAATTACTATCAATTTATTACCACCAATTATTACCACTACCATCACCATCACCACCACCATTACCACTACTATCAATTTATTACCACCAATTCATTACCACTAATACCTACCATCACCATCACTACACTAGATGAAACACCTCTGCTTATTTTATTCATTATATATATATATATATATATATATATATATATATATATATATATATATATATATATATATATATTTTAACTTTTATTCCCGACTTTATTTTTTATCCCCGGATAAATATTTTAAAACGTATAAAGACAATAATGTTTCTCAAATATCCTTTTATTGTATTTTTATTTAATTTCTTAATCCAGAATTTTTTTAATTATTACACAAAAATACTTAATTCTCTCTACGTAATAGTAACACCAAACATTTTATTTATTATTGTAGAAGAAAAATACTCGGGTCAAATTACTTTTTTTTATTTATTTTTTGTATTTCATTCCATATTTTTTAATTCGTAGAAATTATATATATATATATATATATATATATATATATATATATATATATATATATATATATATATATATATATATATATATATATATATATATATATATATATATATA